CTCTATGTTACCAATATGATGTAGAGTTTTCTAATCTGCACAGTGGTGCAGTGTTCCTAAAACCAAAGTAAGAATATCTAACAGTATTATCTATTACCAACAAACATTGCTTCTCATGTAGGTGCCCAAGCGAAGTCCTGGGTGCTCGCCCACATAGAATGTCCCACAGCTGTGCTGTACCATGTAAGAGGAAACAGTTACATGTTCCTTACAGTCCTTCACAGTCTGATTTCTCTATTGCTTTATGCCTCATCTTATTGTCCCACAAAGAATTCTATGAATATATAATCTCTTCTCTCAAAAATTTTATCACATATTTTAAGTCTTTTTTATTCTGGAAGCAAAATAATAAAATAGTACCATATGCTAGCCTAGGTTTACCACTCCTGCCCTTTTTTGCTTTGTCTACCAATAAGCTATTTGGAAAAACTAACTCAGTTATTTCTAAATTCTTCCAAAGAACTGCACCATATGGAGGTCTGGTAGCATAATCTGTGGGAATCTAGGCTGCCCAAGGCCTCTCGGGTGGTTCGAATCCACCAACCACCTTGTGGGAGAAAAATAGGCAATCTCCTCCCACATGATTCACAGCCTTAAAGAAACCCATTGGAGGGTCAGATCCTACTCAATGGCAATGAGTTTGAGTTTTTTACATAATATATAATTTCAAATATTTCCACTTATTTAAACCATAAAACCACACCAGCAGGAGTACTTCTAATGTATTTATATATTTAATAAGGGTTTGGGGTTTTTTTCACACTTTGGAGGCAAGGACTTTGAAGCTCTGCCTCCTCACATACTTTGGGCATGTGGCCAGGAGGGACCAGCCCTTGGAGAAGGACATCATGCTTGGAAGGGTGGTGAGACAGTGCCACACAGAAAGACCTGGGTGAGATGGATTGACAGAGTAACTGGGGCAATGAGAGTAGGTGTGCTGGAGTCAGTAAGACTGGCTCAGGATAGAGCAGGCTTCAGAGCTGTTGTACATAGGGTTACTATGAGTCACGAACATCTCGCTGGCACATAATAACAACAACATATACATACATATAATTGTTTTTGTAGTTACATATTTGTTAAAGTTGTTGTTGTTGTTGTGCACTGTCAGGGCTGAATCACCTCATAACTAATCCTCCAGTGGACATGTCAAGGATGTAAATAAAACATGAGGAAATTGTCCTCATTCACTAGGCAACAGAGAGCTTCCCTAGTCGGGCACTTTACAGACTGAAAAAAAAGGAAAGAATGCAATATTATAATTTGGCCTGTAGGAGGAGTCTTAGGCAGCTAATAATTAGCCATTCTGCACAAATGCACAGTAAATCTTAAATATGCTTTATGTAATATTTTATTTTATGTTAAGCTAAACAGTGCATTCACTAATATTTCTAAATCTTTATGGGAGTACTAGTTTTTCTCTACAATTATATTAAGAAGAAAAACATGTTCCATCATTTCTTCTATATTAGTTGAGTTCTCATGCATCCTCCTTTTTCATTTCCATCATTTCTTCTATATTAGTTGAGTTCTCATGCATCCTCCTTTTTCATTTCTTACCTTCCTTGAGCTACCAGAGTCGTCATTTTAAAGACGATATTGTAAAGGTATGATTTAAAAAATTAGATCACTTGTGAGTCTCCATATGAGGAGTATAGTACAAAAAGCTGTCATAGGCAACCTGGATTTCCTTGCCTGTACATTATTGGACACTCCAAAGGAGCATTATGCCCTTTCTTTGCCCTCACACAGTCAGATTCAGTTAAGTGTTCACAGTCTTCAAGGGAAGGAGGTCCCATTCTCAGACTCCAGGAAGGAAGCTGTTGGCTAAGGCAGGGATTGCTCCAAGAAGGATGCAGGTAGTTTAATGGCACGGCACGGTCAAAACGAGAGGAAGGCATCTCCACCCACATTTACATCAAAACATGCTGGTCTTGGTGGCTGCACAATTCAGGGTGTCATCTATGTCACTGAATTGTACTCGCAGAACACATGACTTCTTTGTAGGTTCTCAACAACAAAATGAAATTTAAAAAATTCATCATGGTGGTCTCTTTTCTACCTACATCTTTCTCCATTTGACTAATATAAATAAGGAAGCAGTTGATCCATTGGTAGGCATTTAACAATAATGAAAAGAAACAGGCCACTCTTCCAAGACATTGTAAGTGCGATCAGCAGATACAGCACTTGTGTATGCCTGCCAAGCTCTCTTCCTTCCCTCACTTCCTTCTCTTTCTTTCATGTTGATACAGAATAGTTTGGGAGTTTTGCCTCCCCTCCTTCTTGAAGACAATTCTACTCTTCAATATCTAGTTGAAATGTTCTTTTTCAGAGTATACTGATAAACATTAATGTCGTCTTCTGAAACATCATAGTTCTTATGTATACCCCAAATTGTAATGTTCCATTTAAAAATATCTATCTGGATCCCTAGAAAATGAAAAGTCACAAAAGTAGTACAAGAAACAAATCTTATTCACATTTCATCCTGCACAGGTGTTTAGCACAGGGTAAATATTCAAGAAGGGTTCTTTAAAGATCTCTAGAAATATCACATCAAACTGTTACGTAGTGATTGCATATCAAATCCACTCAACAAAATAACTTCCCAATAAATACACTCAGCTTTCAACTGCATACATTGCCAAGATTGAATTATTTGGTTGGTTGTTTGGTTTTGGTTTCCAGGGAGTAAATTTTAACTTATGGCAACCCTAAAGTACAAAGCAGAACTGCTCCATATAGCTTTCAATGTGACTGCTCAGAAACACATCAAACAACCAGGACTATCTTTGAAGTATCTTCTAGTGGGTTTGAACTGACAACTTTTCAGCTGTTAGTCAAGTACTTAGCTATTTGATCCATGCATGTATTCCCCTAAAATGCTGTGCTCTTTTTAGGAGCTGTCGAGTCAGCTCCAACTAAGAGACCTAATGCATAACACAATGACACCCTGCCTGCTTCTGACCATCCTCACAATTTCTGTTGTGTTTAAGACCACCGTTATAGTCACCGTTGTCAATAAATTCCACTGAATGTTCTCCTCTCCTTTGCTGATCTACTTTTCTGAGAATAATGTCCATCTTCCATGGACTAGACCCTCAGAGCAAAATACCCAACGTATGTGAGACAGTCTAACCATCCTTGCCTCTAAAGAACAAGCAGCTGCAGTTCTTCAAAACCAGACTTGTTTATTCCTTTGTCTGTCCATGGTATACTCAGTATTCTTTGAGAAAACCACAAGTTAAATGTATCCAGTCTTCTTCAGTCTTCTTTTCTCAGTGTCCAACTTTTGTGTGCATGTGAACCACCATCAGTTTGCTGTGCTCTGGTGACTTGCATGGTGCTCTGATGCTGGAAGCTATGCCACCGAAAATACCAGCAGGCTCACCCATGGTGAACAAGATTCAGTAAAGCTTTCAGATTTGGACATACCAGGTAGGAAGCAGAAATGACTATCCATTTCTGAAATAATGGACCCCTGGAAAAATCCTTTGAATAGCAGCAGACAGTAGACTATTGTCCAATATCATGTCAGAAGACAGGGCCCTTAGGTTGGAAGGCCCTCAAAATACAACTGGTAAAGAGCTTTCTTACTAAAAGAATCTACCTTGATGACTCGGATAGAATAAAGCTTCCAACCAATCAACGACCCTCACTTATTGACATGGCATCATTAAAATTATTTTAAAAAATAGAAGAATACGTAATAAAACATATATGGTAGAGAGGTGGGGACAGAGAGGTGAGGATGGGTAGGGGCAAAATCAAAGAGCTGCATAATTTGGTGGGTTGAAGGAGATAAAAGAATTGGGAGAGATTGGCAGGTTCCTGAAAAGACAGGATAATGATGGGCATAGTTATTGGTGATTAATTTTAGAAAATGTAAATCATAAGAACTAGTACATGAAACATAATGTGAATAAAGCATATAAGCAAACCTGTATAAAACAAAAATTAAAAATAAAATAACCAACAATCATTATGGGTTGGAGGGTAAAAAGGAACCTACAATAAATAATAAAACTGTTGAGGAAACAAAAAAATATTGTATTAATAATAGGAACTCATATAGCAGTTGATTTTTTAGGTTGGCTTCCTTCTCATAAAGGCCAACAATTTTTAATAATTTTCCTCTACCCAAGCTGTTACATTTTGAGATTCAGCATCCTTAGTTACAGCTGATAGAGCCAATTGCCTTCACTCTGGATCCTTCCCCAGAAATCTAGAACTGGACTGAGAGATCCCATTGGGGCTCTGTAGCCATCTCCAGAGTAAACTTATTATGCAGGACTTTTCACAGTCACAATTCATTGCACTGTTAGTGAATTCGTAGAGAAATAAAGCCAGAAAAGGTGTCGGTGAGAATAGTAGCAATCTCCCTAAGCCATGAGAAAAGAAATGTCTCAAGGAAACAAAGGAACTTTTGCGTATCAAATTAAAACAGTATTGTATTAATCTTCATTGTATTAATTTTAACTTCATTAAGCCTCAATTTTCCTTTGCACAAATTTAAACCTTTTTCTTTAGATAATTTAGGCTCCTTTAAAATGATCTAAAGCCAGCAGCTGACTGCTTGGTTTTGACCTAACCAGCAGGGGTCAGAGTCAGAGCACAAACAACCTAAAGAAAGATTCCATAGAAAGAACCCAGGAGTGAGGAAAAGCAACAGCAGAAATGTGTAAATAACAAACGTCTAAACGGGAATATATATTAAAAAAAAGCTACCTAATTTCTTTCAGATTAAAAAATATGTGCTTAAGCAAAATATTGATATTACAATAAAAATAACAAAATAAAAGAGAAAATGAAGCAAATTCTAATTCTAGATATGGATGCAGCAAGTTATAGAAGGACACAAAAATGGTTCTGACATGACAAGTAATGTCCTAAAGTTGGATTAGGATTGATGTTGCCCAGTTTCCTTAACTATGTTTGTTTTGGGGGGTTTCTGTTTATTCATGTAATGATAAAATGACATTCTGAGAATGACTTACTTGTTACGTCAGTTTTTATCCCCGCAAGCTTCAGTAGAGGTTCAACCTTTTCCTGGTAGATGTAAGTAGCTTCTTTTTTGTGGCTTTGGGGGTTAAGGAGGATTTTTAATGACTTTGGTCTACTTGAAAAGCCTAAGAGAAAAAGATAGTGTTATGAGTCGCTATAAGACACTTCTTTTCCTTTCCTTTAAAACCCACATATAAGTCCAGCTAGAATGTGTTATTCACATTTAAATTGCATTTGCTCTTTTTATTTGAACACTTTTGAATGAATATTCGTACACTTTCTTAGCCAAAAGGCTGAAAAACAATTGAATATTTCTGAATATAACATCATTTTAAAACATTTGTGCTTGCCTAATAGTGAAATAACTGTGTTTCTTTTAAAAGAAATCTTGAGTCACAACAAAGCATTTATGAAGAAAGATGGGAATAAAAGCAGTTTTGTTCCTATTCAGCGGGATTTATGTCTATTTACCAAATCACACCCAATAAGTCAAACATTCTTTACCATTTGTTTCTGGCGGAAAGCTATGAACTATAGCAAATAGAAAAGTCCATCGTGTCTCCTTTAAAATGTCTGCTTATTATCGGAATCAGGCCCCTCGGTGACCCCTGAGCTCTGACGTCTGACCTACTGGTGTGCATGGAGTTGGGGAGCGTTGGGGGGTATGAGCCAGTGGTGGTAGTGAAAAAGAGGGCTTAGGTCAGAGTTCAATCCTGAAAGGGGGCCACAGATAGAAGGAAGGATTCTCCAGGGAGTTGGCAGAGGACCGCCTCTCAGCAGGGATTAGATGATAGCACTGCCTCACAGTTGGGGCTGAGATTTGATACTACAATTTTCCGGGCTTGCAAGATGCTTATCACTTAGAACCCAGTTGGAGCAGGTGCAAAGCAAATTTTCGGTTGTTAGGAAGGGGCAGGAGGGACAGGAGAGCCAAAAGAGAGCTGACAACCGTTTCTTTTATGGTAAGCTGCTCTAAGAGGCACATGTTTCAAGGTTCTTTTTAAAAGAAAAGTTAATTACATCCATTTAACAAATAAATAAAGACAAGTGAAAAATTCCCAGTTTAACAAAATCCATTTTGCACAGCTTAAAATACAGGTATCACATTTGATAGAATTAAACCTTTCACAGCATGTTTTGTTCTGAATCCAGGGAGAGTTTCTGATGGAAGGAGGGCCACCTTGACCCCTAACTCACTCCCTGCATTATCTGTCAGTTTCTCTGTCTTAGGAAGAGGCCTTTGTCACCTCCTATTCACGCAGGTTTAAAAATCTCAGTCCTATGTTCCATCCTTCTACTCAGTTCCTGTGTTAAACGAGGAAATCCTTGTTTCATGTCCTCTGCCCTCTCTGAGCAGCAATCTGGTGCGAATGGTTAACATGCTCTATTCACCAGAATGTTGGAAGTTCATCAAGAGTTACTTTGGAAGAAAGATCTGGCAATCTACTTCCAAACCATCAGCCTTTGAAAACTAAACAGAGCACAGGTCTACTTTGATGTACACGAGGCCAAAGGTGGGTGACTCTAGTCCGTAGCCCTCAGACCTGCCTTTATTTGTTTTTGGTGAAACATTCTTCTAGGTTGTATAACACTGGTATGTCCACTTGCTGTACAAAGGTAACAAGCAGTTGCTGTGAAGCTGAACACTGTGACACTGATGTGTCAAATGTGAGAATGGTTACCCGTGGTGGTCAGTGTTTGGTGGAGCTTCCTGACTAAAACAAGGTTGGAAACAGGAGTCGCATCCACTTCCATAATAGCTTGTCTCTGGGAACCCTATGAACCTGGAGAAAGGACAAAAGTTATACAGTTGTCCAGGTCTTTCATTCATAAGATCGCTATGAGTCATCTACGACTCGATGGCACCTAACAACAACAACATGCATAGTAGACACCCATTTAAACAGTAGAAAACCAATTAATGTAGAAAAATTACACTATTAAAAAAAGAATCCTTTTCAATCTCTATAATTCTAATTTATTCATGCAAAAGTCAGTAATATATGCTAAAGAACACGTTGAAAATGGTTAGGTGGGCAAAATAGCTACAAATTCCTAATTCATTAACCAGTGCAAATTATTAATGTTTACTATTCACCATAAGGTTGTAAATTCAACTTCACTTAAGAGTTACTGTGGAAGAAAGACCTAGCTCTGTCCCATTGTTGTTCCTGTTGTTGTTAAGTGCTGTTGAGTCACTTGCAACTCATAGCAACCCAATGTACAATAGCTCTGAATCCTGCTATATCCTGAACCCATCTCACTGTCTCTGACACACTTGACCCCATTACCCCCATTCCTGTGTCAATCCATGTCATCTGGGGTCTTTTTCTCCTGCACTGTCCCTTCATCTTTCCAAGCATTATACCCTTCTCCAAGGACTGGTCACTCCTGGCCACATGCCCAAAATAAGTGAGACGGAGCCTCAAAATTCTTTCTTCCGAGGAGCAGCCTGGTTTCACCCACTCCAACACAGAACTGTTTGTTCTCTTAGCAATCCTTGGTATGTTCAACATTCTTTTTCCAGCAACACAACTCAAAGGCATCAATTCTCCTGCCATCCTTATTCACTGCCCAACATTGATACACAGCAAGCAATTTTGAAGACCATGGCTTGGATCAGGTGTACCTTAGTCTCTAGACTGACACAATTGTTCTTCAGCACTCTGGAGAGGCCTCTCTGATAGCAGACTTTCCCAATGCAATTTGTCTTTTGATTCCATGGCTACTGGTAGAAAAGTTGAGAAACCTGGCAGATATCAATAACATTAATAATATCCTCAATGGTATAAAATGATGCATACTTCATGATACGATACAGTAAAAATGCTTATAATGCCAATTCTCTCTTAATGCTGTGAAGTAGGAACCAACTAATTCATTGTTGACCCTCAACTGGGTTTCAAGACTGTAAATCACATGGGAGAAGCTGGCTGGTGGATTTGAACTGCTTGAGAAGCACGGCCACAGCTCCCCATGGACTAGGCCAAGAGAGAGACGTATTCTTGCCAAAAGTGCACACTGTGAGCCTAACATGAGGAAACACACAGACACGCAAATTGATGAGCATTCTAAAAAATAACTACCTTCCAGTCTTCAAAACAGTCAAGGCCAGGAGAGGCACAGGAACTGCCACAGTAGGAAGGAGACGAAAGGGTTATGGGAAAATGCAATGCGTGATTCTGGTCCGGTATAAACTGCCGTAAAGTGAAGAACTGCTATCTTTGTGGTAGGAAGGCCTAAGCTTATAAATCCAGGCTTACTTTTATTAAAATGCCACAGGGACAATAAACTAGTTGTAAATCCCAGAGCCTAAGCATCAAATTAAATATGTTTACCGTATCTGGGGTGTAACTTGATGAGAATGTGTAGCTTCATTTCTCCAACAGGAGCAGTGCAGAAAGGGTGGCCACAACATGACAAATCGTGGGCCACAAATGCTGTTATAAAAAGTAAGTTTTATTTCCTTCTTCTTCTGTTGTGGCAGCAGAAAACTAGAAGAAGTCTGCAGAAATGAGAAACAGTCATTTGAGACTGGAAATGATAAACACGTTGTCGTTTCAGACTTAGGGGTTTTGTGCCTGGTGCCTGTGTGTATATGTGTGAATAATGTTCAGTGTTGGGCAGGGAAGAAAGAGAAAGGAGGAGGGGGTAGAGAAGGATATGGAAGAGAGGGAGGGAAGGAGGAAGTGAGGAAGAGAGGGAGGGAAAAGAGGGTCATAGGCAGACAAAGTGACATACAGAAAAAGAGCACTCTGGTGGCCAAGTCCTTTGCCAGCTGCACTGCCAGCCTCAGAATCCCCCACTGGCTCTGCGGGAGGAAGATGAGCAGTCTCTTTCCATTGCAGTTACAGCCTCAGAAACCCATGGAGGGTCACTACGAATCTAAACTAACCCAACAGCAGTGAGCTTTTGATGTTTCATAATCTTTAAATTAAGGGGGGGGAAAGGAGGGGGTCAAAAATTGTTTAAGGACTTAAAATTTTTAATAAAAATAATTTTATTACATTTTAGTTAATAACAGTAACAATGAAAGCCAGAACCTAAATTAACCAGAACATGTTGTTATCATATGCTGTAGAATTGTTTGCAACTTATAGCAACCCTCTGTACAACAGCCCTGAAACCTGCCCTATCCTGTGCCAACCTTATTGTCTCTGACACACATACCCTCATTACTCCAGTCACTGAAACAATCCATCTCATCGAGGCTCTTCCTCTCTTGCACTGTCCCTCCAAGCTCCCAAGCATGATGTCCCTCTCTAAGGACTGGTCCCTCCTTGCAACACACCCAAAAATATGTCAGATGAAGCTTCAGAATCCTTGCCTTCAAGGAACACCCTGGTTTTACCCTCTCCAGGACAAACCTGTCTGTTTTCCTAGTAGTCTATGGCATATTCAATACTCTTCTCCAACACCACAGCTCAAAGGCATCAATTCTTCTTCTACCATCCCTAGTCATTGTCCAGCTTTCTGACACATAGCAAATAATTGCAAAGACTATGACCTGGATCAGGCACACCTTAGTCTACAGACACACTGTTTCTTAAAAATTCTGGAAGGCTAAAATTGTATTAAACACAAATCAATAAAGTAAAATTTTCACTGGAATACATATTAATTTTCTTCTCTCTTTCTACACCTCTTATTTTAGGTACACTTAATAATGATCATGAAACTAGAGCCTAAAAATACATATAAATTCATAATCTGATGCTAGTTTTTAGTTCCTATGTAGGCTTCTTAAATGAAATACATACTTATCATAGTGACTACATATCTGTCTTTTCTGAACTTATTTTAAGTTGTTGAACTTTCATAACTCAGCTTAATCTATTGTTTTCTTTTAGATTTTCCATATTATATCTTACTGTCAATTTTACACAAGTTTCATAAATAAAATGTAACACCTTCATTATTATGCTCGGGAAAAGTTTAAATAATACTGTGATTTATTATTCCTTAAAGCTGTGGTTGTTAGCACTGAAAAAATATTAGGGTCTGGTGGGGGGGGTTATTTTTTTTTTTTACTTTGTTGAGAACAGAAAAAAATTGTTTATCTCTTTGATTGTAGTATTTTTGGATTTTTCTGTCTTCTGGAATCCATTTATTCATTTTTTCTTTT